GGGCCCAGGGGCGCCCTTGCATCATTGCTGTTTCGGCCCGTCCTTATCCAGGGCCTTGCATCCGCATGGGCCGCATGGGTCTTGTCATGGCCCCGCTGCCTGCGCGTATTTGGAGCCGCCTCCCCACGGAAGCTGCCCGCGCTGCTTGCCGCCGCTGGCCGGGGCCATCCCAGGGCCTGGGGCCGTCGTCGTCGTCGTCGTCGTCGTTGGCTCATCCCTCCTGGTCGATGCCTGGAGGGCGCGCCATCTCAGGCCCCGGGGCGGCCCTGGCCAGGAGCGGCGGGGCCGCGTTGGCGTCGTCTTCCAATCCCGTCGCAGGTCTTGGCCTCATGGAGTTGATGCACCATTTGCGGCAACAGTTCAAGATGACAAATATGCACATGGAGCGGCGGCTGAGAGAGATCAAGATGGCATTGCCGTGGAGTCGATCCCATCCATGCGCGGAGAGCCTCGGCCACGTGGGTTTGTTGACGCAGCTCTGGAAGGCACGCGCTGACGTCGGGGCCGACAACCCGTTGAGGGAGGACAGGGCCACCATGCTGCGCAAGGACTTGCCTGTCGCGCAGCTGGCTAGGGCTGGGGATCAGGGGCACGTGAGAGCGAGGAGGCCCGACGTTACATGGGTCAGGAAGCGCTTGCATGAATGGAAGCATGCTCAGGAGGCCGTCTCCGACGCTGCCGTGCAACAGAAAACGCAGGAGTTGTACAAAGAGTTCGCCGAGCAAATGGCCGACCAGGCCCCCGCGGATTCTCAGGGCAGCGAGGACGACGCCTTGCCCCCTGTCCCCCCGCCAAGGCCGCTGGACCTGCCCGCGTTCCACGCCGGGGACGGCGAGTGGCCCGTGAGCGAGGCGGTCTTGGCCGAGTTCAACGGTGGGAAGTCGATTGGTTTTGCTGAAGTCGGAGCGAGGCGAAGGTGGGAGCGGCGGGCGCGGCTCGCGAGCGATGGTGCTCGCAATGTCATTCCACACGAGCAACAGCTGGTACTTCGGCTGACGTGCGGCGAGCGCCATCCTGGTCTCTGCTATGAGCGCGACGCTGATGTATATCAGGAGCGGCGCGGGCGCCCAACCCTCCAGCCCATTCGCTCGCTTGCGCGGGGCTCGGCGGGGAGGAGGTGGAGGGGGGTGAGGGGGAGGGGGGGGATGGGGGAGGAGGAGGAGGAGGAAGACAGACGGAGGAAGAGGGGAGGGGGGCCATGGGGAGGTAAGGGCGAGGAGGCAGGAACATGGAGACGGGACGAGGGAGGAGGGAGGGGGGAGGACGCTCTGGAAGGCTTTCTGTGCCCGGAGGCCCGGTCGGGACACGCGCCCAAGACGAAGCGTGACCCCCCCGCACTCGGAGCCGAAGCCCCGCAAGAGCGCCCCCACGGCTCCCAAGAGCGCCCCAAGAGGGCCCCAAGAGGCGCAGAGGCGCCCAAGGCACCCCCAAGAGGCTCCAAGTGGATCCCAAGACCCCCAAAGAGCTCCAAGAGGGCCCCAAGATGCCACCTTCCCAAAACAACCCCAAGCGGGCTCCAACATAGCTTCCAAGATGGCCCAACACCCTCCTCCCCCTCCTCTCCTTCCACGCTCGGCTTCTCTCTCTCTCTCTCTCTCTCTCTCTCTCTCTCTCTCTCTCTCTCTCTCTCTCTCTCTCTCTCTCTCTCTCTCTCTCTCTCTCTCTCTCTCTCTCTCTCTCTCTCTCTCTCTCTCTCTCTCTCTCTCTCTCTCTCTCTCTCTCTCTCTCTCTCTCTCTCTCTCTCTCTTCCTTCCTCTTCATCCGTCTATTCATCCTCCCTCCTCCCTCATCCCCTTCCCCCTCTTCCGACTCCTCCAGCCTCCCCCTCTTGGACCCTTTGTTCCTCTGTATGCTCCCCCATTTCCTTGATCTTTGCAATGGCCTGGGCATCGTTGCTGGATGGGCGGGCGGGGATGCGCGAAGCGTGAAGAGTTGGGCCCATGCCCCCCAGGCGCCATTTTCGGACCGAAGAGCCCCGCAAGTCCAACTCCGAAGGGCCCCCCCCCCCGGGGGCCCGCTTCCGTCCGAGGGCCCCCCCGGAGGCGCCAGAGCCCGAGAGCGCCTGCGACGAAGCACTCGGAGCCGCCTCAACCTCCCCCCCAGCCTCCCCTCCTCGCCCCCCCTCCTGGTGCCCCGCCGCGCCGCTCCCAGGACGCCTTGGTCGTCGCGCGGAACATCGAGCGGTTCTGCGTCCATTATGGTGCCCAAGGCCGCTTTATTATCACCACGGGGTCGGCGGACCAGGACGTCGACGCGTGGTATGTGGCTGGCATGAGGGCGCGCAGGAAGTACGCCCCGCAGGTGGCCGTTTTGGCCAAGTGCAACTGTTTCGCGATGACCGACGACGGCGGATTGCTGATTGATTTCAGGGGAAGGCCAGGCAGGAATGAGTTCGTATCTACGTGGACAGTGGCGAAGACTATTTTGCGCGGCTACGGCGAGGGAGATGTCCAGGGAGATCTATATGTGCAGTTGGGGCGTCCTCACCGGCGTCAGTTAAAAGAAGGGAGCCTCTTGGAATGGGAGTTACTGGTGAAGCCCATCGAGGCGCAACAGATATTCCCAGGCGCGTGGAAGGCGCCCCGCAAAGAGGCTGATCCCCCCGACATGATCGACTTGCTCGCGGCTGCCGAGAAGAAGGAAAAGGCGCCCCGCCCTCACAAGCCCCCGTGCGGCGGGCTGAAGGCACGAGTGGGCATGCCGCTGCTTCCCTTGCCAGGCGGCGCGGGCGGCCCAGCCCGCCCCGCAGGCGCAGAGGAGTTCTCAGATATTGAGTCAGGCGGCGAGGGATCTGAGTCTGATCCCGAGGGCGGGATCGTCGATATCCACGAGGGCGAGATGGAGGGGGGAGGCGGCGCAGGACCTGGGGGCGGACTTGGAGGCGACGCGCCTGGCGGCGGCGGTGATGGCGGCGATGCTGCTGCGCCTGACGACGCCGTGCCGCCTCCGCCGCCGCCGGCACTTGGAGGCGATTACATGTACATCAAAGTGCCGGGCGGTTACCTCTGCTTCAGCCCGTCGCGTCGAACGCTGGATGCACATTGCTGTCTGCCAGGCCACGTCGGCTGCAAGGTCGACCGAACGCTGAGGCCTGGCCGAGGCAACCAAGGGCGCCCTGTCGGGCGCCACATGGCCTGGCTCGCGGCCGACATCGGCGACCAGGAGGCCCACCAGTTGCTGAAGCTGCAGATCGGCAAGGCGCCGTTCTTCGAGGATCGCGTGCGAGGACGCGCGGTCTTTGAGCGCCTCGCCGTCACCAATCCCGCGGCGGCGCTCGTGTTGAGCGAAGGAGGGGAGCGCCCGCCACGGAAGGGCGAGGGGCGGGAGCCGGATGTTCATCCGTAAAATCATGGTGAATCATGGGCCCTCTTTGCAAGCTTATGTGTGCAAGCCTGAGCATATCAGCATATACAGCCAGATGGTGTGGTCACACTGGAGTTCTTCTGAGGCAAACTGTAGGAACACGGGTTCCGTGGAGGGACCGAGCTCAAATTGTAGGAACACGGGTTCCGTGGAGGGACCGAGTTTCACATTGTAGGAACACGGGTTCCGTGGAGGGACCGAGTTTCATTTTCACGTTCCGTATGTGTTTCGTTTCAGATTTGTGTGATTAGGTTTTGCCTTCAAGTTCTCCGAGTTCTCCGATTAGGCTGTGCCCTCAAGTTCTCCGATTAGGCTTTGCCTTCAAGTTCTCCGATTAGGCTTTGCCTGTTTTGTCTTCGAGTTCTCCGATTAGGCTTCGCCTTCGAGTTCTCCGATTAGGCTTCGGCCGCAGCGCGTTCCCCTCGTAGGAGGCTTTGAGGCATTGCCCGCAGCGCTGGCGTAGCGAGAGCCAGTCAGTCCTCCACGCAGTAAGCTTCGTGCGGCAGGGCCACCGACGATACCGCCTCGCTTCGCGATGCCCCAAGCTTATCCTCAATGCGCTTCGCGTGGCACAGGGCATAGCCGTGGCGGCAATGCGCGCCGTCCCCTACGGCCATCGGCATGCTCTCATGGATGTGAGGTGGCGGGGTTTCCAGGGGGGCCCAGGAGGCTCTCGGGGGCTCTAGGGTTCCATGGTCCAGGGCACCCCAGGTACATGCCCGCGCTTTCGACCCCGCCCGCCAGGCCCCGCGACCCGCGTAGATGGCATATCAACCCGCTGAATGGCGTAGCGTAGCAGCCGTGTAGAATTCTTGACGCTTCGCGCATCCCCACCAGCCCATCCAGAAACGACGCCCAGGCGAGTTGAGGTGTCTAGGGAAGTGCGGGAGCAAAGAGTGGGGCTTTCATGGGCCCTCTTCGCAAGTTTATGTGTGCAAGCCTGAGCATATACAGCCAGATGGTGTGGTCACACTGGAGTTCTTCCGAGGCAAACTGTAGGAACGCGGGTTCCGTGGAGGGACCGAGCTCAAATTGTAGGAACACGGGTTCCGTGGAGGGACCGAGTTTCACATTGTAGGAACACGGGTTCCGTGGAGGGACCGAGTTTCACTTTCACGTTCCGTAGGTGCTTCGTTTCAGATTTGTGTGATTTCATACATACAGACACGCTATGCTGTTGCAACCCGTTGCCTTTTCTCTCGAGCGAGCGCCCCCTCGCTTGTGCTCGCGGGCACGTTCTGAGTTTGGGGGCCTCTTGGGGCCATCTTGGGGGCCCGGGGCTCTCGGGGGCGCCATATCTCCCAAGTGAGGCGCCTTGACGGGCAGACGCCAAGGCGGGGCGCTTGGGCTTCAGAAAAGGGAGAGCCCTGAGGGGAGCCAACTGGGGCCCCGTTGATAGCATAGCCGTAGCATATTATCGTTGCATGACTGGCGTGTATGGGCGTCTGGATGGTTGGCCAGTCCTTCGCCCCTTGGAGGCCCGCTTTCAGTCTAGTAGTGTGTACTCCATAACTCCCCCCATCCTCTGCGCTCGAGCCCCGCACCAGATCGCGCCGCAGTGGCGCGCTCGCGCCCCGCAGTGGCCCCCATTGGCCCAGCCCATGGGCCATTGAGCCGCGGCGCCGCGGCAGCCCAGGATGGGTAAGAAGAGGAAGGAGAAGCAGTTTGAGATACCCGAGCAGAACTCGAAGTCGCTGAAATCATTGCTGCCGCCGGACAGCCAGCGCGCTGCCTTGCCAGGGCCAGGCGCCCAGCTTTTGCAGCAGGTCGAGGTGCCCAAGGCGTCAGCCGACGCCGAGTTGGGCAGCCCACGCAGCGCGTCAGTGGCGGCGGGTGCCGCAGCAGGCGCCAGTGAATGCGCCTGTGATGTTGCGGGCGTCGGCCTGGCGGCAGCTGGCGCCAGCGCTGCCGCCGGCGGCTCGCCGCGCGAGGGGCAGACTCAGGCGGCCGCGAGCGAGGGCGCCTGTCCCGGCGGCGGCTCGGGTGACACCAAGGAGCCCAGCGGGGTCTTGCAGGAGCCCGCCAGCAGCCCGCCGCGCGCGAGGATGAGCAGCCCACGCAGCCAGGCGGGCGAGGCAGGCGCAATCCGCTCTGACGACCCAGCGTCAGCAGTGGCGGTGGGCGCCGCAGCAGGCGCGAGCGCAGGCGCTGGTGCTGCAGGCGCCGGCACTGTCGCCGGCGGCATGCCGCGCGAGGAGCAGACTCATGCGGCAGCGAACGTGGGCGCTTGCCCCGCCGTCGGCGGCTCGGGTGACACCCAAGAGCTTAGCGGGGGCTTGCAGAAGCCCGCGATCAATTTGCCGCCTGCGATGGATGCGTCAACCGTCGCCGAGTTGGGCAGCCTACGCAGCCAGGCTGGCCAGGCGGGTGCTACCAGTCCTTGCGACCCCGTGTCAGCAGTTGCGGCGGGCGTCACAGCGTCGGCTTGGCGGCAGGCGGCGTCGGCCGCGAGTGATGGCGCGCATGCTGCAGGCGTCGGCCTGGCGGCAGCTGGCGCCAGCGCTGCCGCCAGCGGCGTGCCGCGCGAGAAGCAGACCCAGGCGGCAGCGAACGTGGGCGCTTGCCCCGCCGTCGGCGGCTCGGGTGACACCCAAGAGCCCAGCGGGAGCTCGCCGAAGCCCGCGAGCAGTTTGCCGCCTGCGATGGTGGCGCCAGCCGAAGCGGAGATGGGCAGCCCACATAGCCAGGCTGGCCATGCTGGTGTTATCAGCCCTTGCGACCGAGCGTCAGCCCTTGTGATGGACAGCGCTGCCGCCAGCGCCAGCGCTGCCGCCGGCGGCGGCATGCCGTGCGAGGGGCAGACTCAGGCGGCTGCGAACGTGGGCGCTTGCCCCGCCGGCGGTGGTTCGGGTGAGGAGCCCAGCGGGGTCTTGCAGGAGCCCAGCGGTGGCGTGGGCGACGCAAAGGAGCCCGGGGGCCTGGCGGCAGCCCAGCAGCAGCCCAGCCCCGCCGCCGGCGGCATGCCGCGCGATGAGCAGACCCAGGCGGCAGCGAACGTGGCGGCCTCAGCAGGCGGCAGCATCGACATAGACATAGACTTGCTAGACGTCGACGGCATGGGCGACGACGCGGAGATCCGCAGCATCGATGACAACGACGGCGACCTCGCTTGCATGGGCGGCGTCGCTCCAGCAAAGCAGGACG